TCATCTCCCGCATTCCGACCTCATGCGGTCTGTCGACGCTCACGGCGGAACCCTCAGTATTCACTGTCTTCTAGTAGTTCGGTCGTACCTCCCTTCCTCACTGCTCGGCTGAGCTCGAAGCGTGCTGTGACCGATCGCATCTCGGTTCCTCTCGTCTGGCCTCTTTGACGCGGCGTACCAATCAGGCCCAGACGATCTCAATTTTGAATCCCGTATAGAATGCCATTTGCAAGCCAGTCCTGTCTGACCCACATTCGTACCCATCAAGGCGGGCATTTATTGCTACCGTGACGATGACCGACAACATTCCGTTATATACCGCCACCTACAAGCCAGTCCTGCTCGCTTTTTTCTGTCATTATTTTTAAAGAGGGGTTTTTTTTCTCCTGTAAAATTAATCCAATCATTTTTAACTTTTTGTAAGGATTTTTTTTCACCCCTCAATCATCATGTTTCTCAATGAACTTCTAATTCAGAAACTAGGAATTGCATTTTGTAAAGATTCGGCCTACCTCGTCTAAAACTCGCATGCAAATTTATTTTAACTTGCTTTGATGGGACCCCGACGTGTCTTTAATAAAAATTATCTATCTAGATAACAGTCACTCGGACCACGGACACATTAGATTGTTTGGAGTGAAAAAATGAGAAAACGAGTTGTGGGGACAGGGTCCTCAGAGTCAAAATCACTCTATGTTCCCTCTCAGGCGCCAGTCCACCAACCGAGTCGGTCAGTTGTCTGACGCTAGGATTGAATGCAACTGGTCAACAGAGCTAAGCAGTCCGTCTGTGCGATATGACCCCAAAAGTACGTCGGGTGTTTACATAAACGGAATGAGTGGCGCGGGTGACGCATGTGTGATCGTGTTTTATAGATATCGATAAAAAGGAGTCTTTGTGCTTGATCTTCAGTCCACCAATTAGTAAAATCACATATGAGAGTTCAAACATCGTGGGCGATGATATCTACCGTGTGCCCCATCATAAGATGGACGCAGGGACGATGAATTGTATGCGAATTAATTTGTATTGACAGAGGACATTTGCTGCATCTATCGTACTCTCTCATTCTCACACTCCCGGAACGGGTGTTACGAGAGACTGAAGAAGTCCCGAGGCTGGATCGGTCGCGGTGACTAACAGACCTAAAGAACCCGTTCATGAGTGTCCTACAAGCCAGGTCTACTCAAAACCAACTAGGTTTACGATCAAACAAGAAAGGGGAGTTTCGATCGAAACTGACCTTGCAGCATGAAGCTCCATCCTGGAAGTACGACGGAACTAGCCCGTCGCGTGTCAGCTTTCCAAGTTACGGCTTTTAGCACATAATATCAAATTAGCAGCGTGTCTGATTTTTCAAAGTGAGGAATGTGTGGTCAATACCCCCCGCAGGAACAGTTCCCAGAATCGACCTCACTTCCTCTTCCTTTTATCAGGAATCGGTCTATTGACTGCGTCGGTCATTTGTCTGAGGCTTGAATTGAGCGCAGTGGTTGACGCGGTTAGAGAACTCGCCTGCGCGAGCTACACATGAACCGGCCACCACCAAAATTGTATTCAAAGGGGACTGATTGCCCAGATCTCACATGTGCTGCAGTTGCATAGAGCGGCGAAGAGGTCTGTGCCCCCTACCCATCAGCGTCTGTTGGGGGTGTGGGACGCGGAGTCACCCTGCTTCACTCTCCTAGTCACTGGGAAGGCTTCTAAGACAGCCGCATTATCCGCGACGAGCGCCATCGCACCGTTTTGAGGCCTCCGTACCGTGTTCGCGAGTCGGTGGGAACGACCAAATGTCTGCACGATTTTTTTTACAGTTCATCGCGATTCGCCGTGTCGAAGATTTCTGTTAGGTCCACGAAGGCTGCGTATAGGTTGGCATACACTTCCTGGCACTTCTCCTACATCTGTCGGCCATCGAGAATTTATTCACTGATTTTATGCCGTCGTTGGAAGCCAAGCTGGCTTTCTATAAGGAGCCACTGTTTAAAGTCACTCAAACTTTTCATTATAATTGAAGTCCTCAGCTTCTCATAAATTGCCATTTGAAGTATTTGTGAACATTTCCTGTTTTTCAGGATGAGCTTTCGTTATCTCTAAGTAACAAAGTGTTTACGTTTACTCCGTTCCTATATGACTGTACCGGCATGACGAGTATTTAGCGAAAGCAAACGAATGCGCGCCAACCGATATTCTGAATAACGTCATGGGAATTTACACAAATCTAGAGCTCTCTATTTCTTAATCATAAATCGTCTGCACTTACTATTTTGTCAGTCGTCCTATCATTAGGCACAAATGCACTGTATCTAAACTTTTCACCCTATATAACCTCGTCCTTTTGGAAATTCACCCGCATATATACAGGAAGATAGAAATTGTAAGAAATAAAGTCAAAATTTGGGCAGCTTTGGCCGTAATTCTGTCACCGTGTGGCGAGATATCATGATAATTGGTGTAGTTTAAACTTAAATCCTTGATGGCGGTACGTACAGTCATAGGTGTTCCTTGAAAGATTACTAGTTGGGGTAGCCTATCAGGTCCAAAACACATATAGCGACATTTAGACGGAGAGAATTCCATTAGCCATTTTGGGCTCTACGCTGAAAGAGCAAGCAAGTCAGCATGGATTTGCTCCACCTAATGAGGGATCGCAGAATTATTGAATTAATATACACATATAAGATCATCACCATAAATAAATGATTGGGAATGTCTAACTGCCGACGAGATACCATTTAGGTACAGCAGGAACAAAAGAGGACGTAAAACGGTACAAGGTTCTCACAGGAAGATGAAGATCCAACTAAAACCTTTTGTTTACTATTAGACGGGTATGACTTAATACAGTCTATAAGGGGACTGTAAGGTCCAGAGATTCTAATTTAACCAAGAGTCTTTTATGTGGCACTTCACCAAAGGCTTTACTTAGAGCAAAGTAAATAGCGACAACCGATAAATGATCATTACGAAGAGAAGGTAGTAGATTGAGAAACAACATATCATAATTATTTTTTATTAAGGACACGTCGGGGTCCCATCAAAGCAATTAAAAATAAATGTACATGCGAATTTTAGACGAGGTAGGCAGAATCTTTACAAAATGCAATTCATAGTTTCTGAATTAGTAGTCCGTTGGGAAAAACGACTAGTGAGGGGTGAAAAAATACTCCATACA